ACACACACACACATATATATATATATATATATATATATATATATATATATAGCGAAAATTCTGAAGATTTAACAATGATAATATTTATGTTTGTTAGTTAAATACAATGACGTATAATTTATAATATACTATAATAAACAGGATGATTTTCATTGCAGATATTAATGAAGGATCTAACATACAAAGGCTTTCAAAATTTATCCGATGTACATAGATAGACATACACGCGCATTTGATGGAAATATTTCTAAAAATATGTAGAAATATATCATATTGATGAAATTACGATCGCAATTAGTTATTGACAATCGATGCATTCGGTGACGTATCATTGCATTGGCAAATTGAATGTGACGGACCTCGAATGAAATTAAATTTTTGCTAGAATACAAGTCGAGCGGGTTTAAAGAAGAAAATAATTTTAGCTTAAATTACTTAAATGAAAGAATTAAAAAAAAAAATTGTTATATGAATGATACAGCCGCTGACAAAAATTATTCATGCACATCTCAGTATTCGAACAGAAGGTTGTGTGCGTGTCTCTCGCATTCTGCAAAAAAAGGTTTATATCGATAATTATTGTTGGAGATATATTATGACGACAAATTGTAACATATAAATGATAATAATACGTGTCCTTTCATAGTTCAACATTTAATTCCTTTAATCTAATTTATCTAATCTAAAAGATTAAAAATATAGATGTTAAGTATTAATTTTCTATAGGGAATATTAAAACATTCCTGTTTAGTTAGCACAAAATTTATCAGGTTTAATCTGTAAAGTATTAATTCTCAGAAAGAGTAATGAATCGAGAAAATGTAATGAAACGTGAAAATTTCTTACAGATGATCGAGCAACTGATACCTTAATTCAGTTGCTACCTTCTGTTGAATTTGTAAAATATGAAACAAATCACTCTACGTTACAAAAGAAGCTTTGTGTTACAGAAAAAACAAAAAAAAAACAAAAATACAACAAACAAAACAACCCTATATATATATATATATATATACATGTATCGCAACGTCAAATTAGTAAGTCTAAATGATAATATTATTTAAAAATTATAAGCATTGATTTATATATTAATTTAATAAAAAAATATATAAGTATCATCTCGACAATTACAAATCTCATACGTATATAGTTAAATTCCATTAATTTTTGTTGAAGTGATTTTACAATAAGATATATATATATATATATATATATATATATATACAAATAAAATGTTTAATCAGATCGAATAGTTCAAGAATTTTCCAAATTGTTTGATTTTTACATAACCAAATGTTAAATACGTTATTTATAACAATGTCATATACAATGTCTATAATATATGTCCTATATTGTCTTCAAAACTTTAATGTTAGGTTGATTTATTTTTGTGGAGGCGTAATGGAATATTCAAGGAATGAATAATCTATTAACAAAAATAGATCAGCAGTTACATGAAAGAACAAAGGGAATAGGAAAGGCACTTATGACTTCAACCTAGCAACAATAGAAAAACAGTAATTGATACTAGAGTACGTATTTTTGCATAATAATTCATAAAGAGTAAGTAGAATTGTATATTTCATAAATAAGCGACAGCTTGTAGAAAGTGCGTAGTGGTAATAGAAATAATAGTAAAATAATTTTTATTCTCTTAAGAGTAAGAGCGTAGTTTACCGCTTAAAGAAATTAACGTTAAGGAAATATCTTAGCTGGTCGTGAGAAATGATATACAGTAATTTGAGATATTTCATAAAAAATCTTCGTTCGATCATTCATCGTCGAACCTCATTTTCCAACAATTATAGACGTCTCTGCGTATAGATTCAGCGGTCGTATAGATTCCGCGCCCGACGGAAATTGGAATTTTTCGCATGACGCTCGCGTTTACGTTGACATTTTACGCGGGCTTATCGCCAATCAACCGGCATTAAATATCATTATCGCCTTTTATCGGCTATTATCGTGACATCGAGCTGCCGTGAAATTTATATTACATCAACTTCTCCGTTACTCACGGAAATAATCACTGTTACAAAGGTAATATTAGAATCGAATTGCCGATACACTTTCAAACACAACTTTTCCTGCGATAATTCTTCAGTTAATTAAGGTGGAGGAGGAGGAGGAGGAGGAGGAGGAGGAGGAGGAGGAGGAGGAGAGGGAAATTCACTCATTCGCCTAGACTCTGGCGCACACTTGTACGACTAGACTCTGGGCAAAGAAATGTACGCAAAACACGGGCAGCGAAAATTTTTACAAATACATTTTACCATAAGCTCGTTCTTCCGCTTTAAAGGGAGAGAAACAAGTGAGAAAAAAGTTTGCCGATGCTTTCCCATATGCATTCGAAAACCCGTTTTCTATTTTTAATAATTATTATTCCGTGGAATATGATTGGGGCTCGCGTAATATATACCTTTGACAAGTACCCACATTATGCGGATATTAAGCGTTAATAAAATTTGTAAGTAAAATCCAGTGGATTATGCCCTTATACGCGAGGTGTACGGACACGTGCAAAGTACTGATTAAAATTCGCCTCGGTCATTTGCCAGTGGATCTACCTAAATAATCGTCCTTATCGAGGGCCGATCGTGCGCGATATTACCGCGTTACCGATCAATATAACGGTACATGGCCGTGTTTCTGTTCCACCTTCTTTTTTATCCCATCGCCGCTTAATCCAAAGCGCCTCCGACTCCTGACCCTTTTCATACGCCTCACGAATCATCCTCACCGTCATCGCTCGGACACGACGAAAACCCGGACTGGCGCGCGTCCATTGTACTGTAGCCGCGTCCCTGTCCTTATCTGGGGCTTACTATCGCCGCGCGTCCTCGGGAATTCTCTCGATGTACATCTTTTTCTATGTCAGGCTGTTGTCAGGCCTACGACTGCCCGCTGTCGTAGTCTCCGAGTGACAATTGATTAGCTCCTACGGAGCGCGAACGTTTCGATCGATCGATCTATTGTTTCGTAGACAGCTTGGATCATGTTTCGAGAGCTCCGCACGATCTTCTTCCTCCGCTCAGTCGCAACGACGTGCTACACCCACTACTACTACTACTACTACTACTACTACTACTACTACTACTACTACTACTACTACTAATAATAATAATAATAATAATAATAATAATAATAATAATAATAATAATAATAATTATAATGCCAATACTAATATTAATACTAGTGCTACTACTATTACTACTCACGAGTATCCTCGTTTTTGGCTACGTAGCACAAAGGATTATAATAATGGCCCACGACTTCCGCTCGTATGATTCCGCGTGGGGAGAAAAACACTTCTCGCCATGGTTACTTGGCACCTCCCCCGACTCCCTCGCCACCCCCCCCCTCCCCACCCAACCCATACCCCACCCCGCGCTGTTGTTGGCTTCGAGCCGCCAGCCGCGACTGCGATATCCCATTGAACGGCTTACATCCGCGACGTTTGTTTTCCTTTTCGGACGACTGCAGCAGCCAGGGCCGCTTGAAGTATTTACGATGCGATCTCCCTCTCCCTCTTGGTGCGCTCGTGCGCGCGATTCAATGTCCATGCAAAGCGAGCGCCGGCGGCCGAACGCCTGTCAATTATCCGTTATATACGGCCCGGGCCTCAAAGCACTGAGAGCGAGAGTCTTGGGGCCGTCCTTTTAACGATGTGCCGAGAGCAGCAGCCGAAGCAGCAGCAACGACAACAACGTCCCTTCGCTCAAGCCCAATATCGGGGGCGGTAGTAGAGGTGACGGGGACGAAGGGAAAGCCATCGATAGCCTTGCACGAGAAAGTGCATCTCATTTTCGACTGCTGTCATCGGGAGCTGCTACGGACGGTTCGCCGGCAGTTACTGCTCCGTTGCTCATCCTTTCGCTTAACGACAGACGTGGAAAAACGCGTTGACCAACATCTTCTCGGCCATTGATACATCGCCGTAGCATTATAAGCGATAAGCGACGAGACTCGGTTGTGCAGTTTCTCAATGCATCCACGTCTAAGCGATATTTGCCCGAGATACATAACGTAAGCCGCGCTAACCTACGGCTAATGTACTTTCCCTGTAGTGCGCGCGCGCGCGCCGCTTTGCATAATGTCATTCCCATGCGAGGGAATTTGTTTATCCGCGGCTACCGAGTTTATTGGGCATAAACGAAAATGGAAAGTTATTGCGACCGAGATAATCACCGTCGCATTAAGAGCCATGATTTCGTTAACGGAATCCACTCGTACGGTCATCAAACGAAGCAGCGGGCTTACACGGACGGTGAGAGGAGTCAAGAGGGGAAGGAATAATGGGTCCGGCGCTGTTTGTCGTCGACATCGTCAAAGACCAGTTTAACATGGATTTTAAGGTTTATTATGCCGATAAGGCTGAGGGCCGTTGCTGAGGCCGCCGCTAATAGTAATTGAAGTATAAACTCGGTATATAATTGCGATGCTTTTAATGAGTCTGCCAATCCACGTGCGAGTAGTTTATGCCAACAATGAGAGGCGGCGGGCAGCTATCGCCTTAAGCCTAATAAACACAGGCGTGATTTATTCGCGCTGCCGGGCAGCTAAAGGGAATCGAACTGCCGCCCCCACCCCACCCAAACACCTCCCCCTTACGACCATCTCACACACTCACTCTCTCTTTCTCTCTCTCTCTCTCTCTCTCTCTATCTCTATCTCTCTCTCTCTCTCTCTCTCTTTCTACCACCACCATCCCGTAGAGTGTAGAGCGGCTGCCTCTAATCGGGAATGTCTTTTTACGCAGGTAAGCGTCGGCGACACGAGCAGCGGCACGAACACGAGTGGCACGAGCACGAGTACGAGCAGCAGCAGCGCGGGCCCGGTTAATCCGAGCGCCGGCGACATGGACTGGTTCGCGGGCGTCGCCGAGGAGGAGCTGCTTTACTATTCGAGCCTCGGCAACGAGCTCGACTCCCTCTTCGCCGTCGTGGGGAGCTTCGTACCACCGCCCCCGAGGCCACCCTACCTTCCGGAAGAGACACTACCGACGGACGGCCTCACTACGTGCGACCTGTGTTCCTGGGCCTTGAGGAACGACAGGTACTCCTTCTCCCTGGACGGGACCCTCGGTAAGTCTTGTGTGCTCATTTATATCCAAGTTAAGCTCGGCCCGCGTTTATCTCCCTTTTCTTTATTAGCGTAGATAGCGCTGTCCTTGGGCTTTTTCGGCCCGGACTCCCCTTAACGAGCCAAATAACGAATTAATTTTCGTGATATCGCTGCGTGACCGGGGTTTAGCGCAGTTTAGCGCGCCACGGGCAGATGAAAGCCCATTTGAATCGGGCAATTACCTCTTCGGGCATTCATGCGCGTTGATT